CCTCCTTACCTTTATTATGGGATTATATTTCATCTGGATACAGATTTAAAACTGCTCAAGCTATGAAATGTGTGCTTAGAAATATGGGAAACATTTCTGCATTTAAAAACAAAGCTCACAGTTGTTTGGTTCATGCAGGTTTGTTGGTGCCCTTCTGTTGAAGTTTGTCATATCTGCTTCAAGGGATGCAGTTTGTTGTTTGTGGCATCAGATTTTCCTGTGCTGTCTGTAATATCATCAAACAGAGTACCTCCCCGAAGGGTTTTAGCCTTTACAAATCTTTAAAAACATCTCCTAGGACTGTTTAAATTCCTCTGCTTTAATTACAGCCTGTGTCTAATAAGTTGTCCTTGTCAGATGTTGAAGGGCCAGGTGGCCGTGCTGCCTTTCACTGCTTTCTCATTGCTGTCAGTTCACAGCTCTCCCCAGGTGTCCCGTTCCCCTGTGGAAGAGCCCAGCACACTGGAGGAGTCTCCTGTGGCACTGCAGTGGCTGTGACTGTCAGCACACGGAGGGCAGACCCCGTCCCACAGCTCAGATCAGCACAAGGTGCAGAGTTGCTGCAGTCTCTCGTGTTCCCACTCCCTGAGCGTTGCTGTGTCCCAGCTGCCCAAGGAGTGCAGCTCCAACCCGCTCCTGCTGTGCTCCTGTATCCTGAAAAGATTCCTCACACCTCCAGGGGTCTGTGTAGAGATTAATTGCTGCTGGAGAACAAAACTGCAGTACTTGCCTTTTGCTTGAAGACTTTTTGTTCTTGATAAACATTGTCTTAAATATCAAAATATTAGCTTTACTTACCTGTGCTTTTAATTTATAATCAGACACTAAGCTAGCTGACTTGCAAACTAACAGATGCACTGTTCAATTCTTTAAATAGTATGTTTGACATTCCTTAAAAAAAACCCCAAACAAACCCCCCAAAACCTCTCACAGTTATATAATTACAGTGTATTCATTTTTTGACTGTTCAGAGGCCAAACTAATTTAATTTCACTGACAAAACTTCAATATATCTTTTTCTATTTTATTAGACAGAGTGCACTAAAGTTTGAAGTTATGTGTAATCTGTTTTTATGTTTCACTAGTTTGATGTGGTTTCCTTTCAGGTGAGATGAAAACCCTTCCTGTGACTCCTGCCACTGATAAGGGGGATCAGTGGATGCGGGTTTGATTGTAATATCCAGCTGAATGCTGAATGAGTCCCTGCTCTGTGCTACATTCCCACTGATTCTATCCAGAGTGACTGAGCAGATCTTACTCCTTGTACAATGGTGTCTAATGCTATTTTATCCCAGCTCAAAGTGTATATTCTTGATTTAGTTCAAGAAAATGTACATTACTGGGGAGAAAATGGGAATTTAGTGCTGGCACATTGTGATGCCTGATGCAGATGATAAAACTGCAACTCCAAGCCTGTTTACAGCTTGTGTAACTGCTGAAGCTCGAAGGGAACACAGCCTCCCACCCTCTCTCAATGCTTCAGGAGACAGGGATCCAAGCCCTGCCAAGGCAAACTGGTGGAGTGAAGTTAAGCACAATTTCAAGGGATGTGACTTGTCTGCAAGTTGTCACCCGTAAAGCATTCAGCTCTTTTCAGAGCCATGATGGCTTTCATTACCACAGCAGCTGCTTTAGTTCTGCTGCACTGCTGTGTCTTACAGTCCATGAGAGAGAGAGGGGGAGAGAGAGAGAGAGAGAGGGAGGTTCTGAGCCGTGCCTGGGGCTGCTCAGCTGGAGGCTCCTGCTCTTGTTGCTGCAGCGGGTCCATCTCAGGTCAGTGGCACCTGAGCTGTGCAGGCTGACTGCTGCCCTTGGGGCTGTGCCCCTGGGTGCAGGGGGGCTGTGTGGGACCCAGCTCCTCCCGTGGGGGGAACTGCCAGTGCAGGTAACACCCCATCACCCCTGGGAACGTGCCTGTTCCCACTCCTTGTGCAGCAGTGAATGTTGTAAAGCCCAGCTCAGCAGCCCAGCAGTGAATGTTGTAAAGCCCAGCTCAGCAGCCCAGCAGCCAAGGGAAGATGTTTAACTTAGGCCTGCTGGGATCCTGTGAGCTTTAGGTGGGCAGCAGTGACCCCTTTAGGTGGGGCCTCTGGCAGTGCAGGGCATGGACAGAAGTGCTGTGATCACCCCCCAAACGCTGTTCATTAGACCTCTCTAGTATCTCAGGAGGACATGTACCTCTCTGAGAAGTGACTCTGTGTGTTAGATGTGTTTAATCCAGACTTCTCTCTCCATTTTGATTTGGAGGAAAAATCTGTTACGATTTTTCTAAATGTTTTCTCTCCTTGCTTCCCTCTTCCTCCCTGTCCCAAACCAGAAAGCTTTGGGATAGTGTTGATGTTCATACATTTTACACCTAAGTATAAGAACATGAAACCATGTATATTAATCGTATTTAAGCAACTGCAAATCAATAGCTGCTGTTTAAAGCCAACAGAACAGTGTAAGTTTTAAGTTCAGTAAGTATTGTAGAGATAAACCTTGTTTGATTGATGAAAATTGTGCATAAAATGTTACCAATGCTGTAAATTATTTTTAATAAAGAAAATTGTATCACAGTTCTTGTATGTTACCATCTGTTTTGAGTAGAATGGAATACATGTAAATTGGTATTGTAAGTGTGTCTGAAGGGGTGGGGTGGATATGGGAAAGGGATAATATTATGTATTATATAATTATGCATGTTTCATTTTCTTGTTAGGATTGTCACGTGGGCTTGCTAAGCATGTTTAGGTGGTGTCAAAAGATGTTCTCTGTGTTAGCTGAACTGCAGGTACCAGACTGGATCTTACATCAAATGATTTTTGACTAACCTTTTTCTCCCCTTCAGAGTAATGTATGATTTAGGATCTAGATGAAATTCTGAATTAAAGCACTGACCAAGGTTACAGCTGTGACAAGGTCCTCAGCAGTGATTTGGGGATGTCTGACACTGACCCAGCTCTGAAGACTCGCTTTTTCAGGCTTGAATTCAACCTGCAGGTGCTAAATTACATCTGATCTTTCTACAGGTATGGAGAGAGGCTGAAGCACAACCTTCACCCTGTGCCTTGCCCCACAGCCAGGGTGTGCTTCCCCCCAGAGCACTGGGCAGGCAGGAGAAGCACAGAAGTTTATAGGTCTTAAGTTTTGGCACTCCTGGCTGGCAACTGAGGCAAGAGTAACGAGGTACAGATCTGCAAAGTGCATTGGAACTTTGTTTGCAGAGAGCAATATGTTTCTGTAAATCTTAAAGCACAGCAAGAATGCTTTCCTGCTGTATCCATCTTGTTCCAGCGAGCTAAAGCTTCAGTCGGCCTCAGAAATTAAGAAAGGGAACCCTAAATATTTTTCAGAGCTTTTATTCTTGAAAAAACTTAGTTGTGTGATTTCTGGTGAGAGTAGTTGGCCAGTCACTTCTAGTAACATCTGTTCTGAAATTGGAGGGGGAAAATTTGTTTCTTGGGCAAATAGTTTCCCTTTTCTGAATTGCCTGTTTGATTAAAATAATGTTTTCAAGTTCACATCCATAATATTACAAATAATACTGAAATAATGGGATGGAGGATTCCTAACTGATTTACTTATAATCCAGATGTTTGGGTTGTTTTGTTTCCATGGTTTGTTGGTTTGTTTGGTTGGTTGGTTTTTACTTCAGTATACCTTTCCTAAATTCCTTTTTTTCTTCATGTTCAGAATTCTGTCACAGCAGGATCTCAACTACTGTAGATTACTTTTTTTTTTCATTAGGAGTTTCAGAAGAGATTTCTTCATTAATCTTGAGGTTTGTCATTAAGTCTAAAATTCTCTAGGTCTGGACACGTGGCCTCAGTCTGAAGGTACAGTCCAAAGGACATCCTGAGCAAGAT